TAAGGAAGTACCCCCCATTTGGATTCAATAAAAAATACTAGAAAATTGAAATCCAACTAAATCAAAATGTAAAAATTCAGTTTTAGTACAAATTTGGATTTCCGACAGTTTTGGTAAAAATGAATCCGCATGTAGACCAATATAGACTTGGTCAAAAATTCTGATAAAATCAGTTTAGGCTAGTTGAAGTATAAATAGTAATTATCGTGAAAAATTATTTGTGAAATAATCATTATTTCAAAAATCAATTTTTCACACTTAACCAAAAACACAGTTTTTCATGACGCGCATTCTGGGGTCCTAATATCCGTTACCAACTAATGGTAATGAAGGCTTCTCATGCCTTAATTGTTAACTGCTGTCGGTTTCCTTGATGGAGTCGCCACAACCAACAAAGCTTGAAAGTTGTGTGTGAATTTAGGAGGTGGCCAAGTTTTACATTTATAAAAAGCCACTACTACCTTGCTCTATATAAAATATAGATAGGGCGAGTAGGGATCGTCCCAAGGGATTTGATGGTGTATCGAATCGTGAAACTGTGGTAATTAGGGTTAGTAGGTCGAGTGATCACACAATTGTTGATTGATTGGTTGATTATATTAAATGAGCTAAACTATAATAAAGCAATGCAATAAGATAAAGAGTAAGTAAGAAGGAAAGGTCTTGGGGTGTAGAGATCACCACCAAACAATACTATTCCAAACCATAATCAAGTGACTAATGAGGGAAATGAATGTGTTGCAACAATGTTGTGTGTGTAAAAGACATTCAATTGGTAAGGGTGACTCAACAAGTGCAAATTGTCTCAATCAACATGTGTGAGACCACAATACATCTATTGGTAGAGGAATATATTGTCTAAACATCATGTGAAGATAACAAAATAACAATTCAAGTCATTAAACCTTTCATTAAGCTCATAGTCCAAGCAATCCACAAGGATGACTTAGTTAAACATGCATTATCTAATCATCATGTGAGAGGTACAAAATATCTATTGGGAGAGGAATAAATTGTCTAAACATATATGAAAGATACAACATATCATAACTAATCATTAATCCTTCATTAAGCTCAAAATTCCATTACACCACAATATTAGAGCATATGCTTCTTGCATTCAAAAGCATGGAACATCAAAGAACAAGCATGAATTGTCTCCCCAACTAACACTACACTACTTAAAAGAGAAACACAATCCATCAAGGAATAAGTATGAACCATCTAGAGACATAACAAGAGCATTACATTAAGAACTTCATATTTTGGCAATCTCAAGATTAAAGGCATTAATACACATAGACATGCATCAAAAACATTAAATCTAGAGGTGAGCATCTACTCTAGCATACATAGACATATAGATAGAGAAAATGATCAATTAGAAGCATTAATCCATAGAACTCAATGAATAATCAAGATCTTCATAAGTTCAAGAATCAAAATATGCATTACAACACAAATCCCTCAAAATTACACAAGATTAGGTAAAGAAGGCATGTTTGGGGCTAACTCTAGCCCCAAGAAGATGTCTAGCCACTCATGGTAGTGATGATCCAACCCTCAAGGGCTAACTCCATGGCTGCTCCTAGTTGGTGAAGATCTCCTCCAATGGTTGCTCTAGCTTCATCCCTTATTCCTCTCCAAGAATAGCCTCCAAGATGATTTTCAATGTGTGACAAAAGACTCTAGACCCCCCTCCAAAAAGTGTATCATATTCCTTATATAGGTAGGTCAAATACACCCTATGATGAGCTGTGGTCGTGCAAGGCATATTCTCCAATGATTGGGTGAAGGACGGAATAAATGAGCTGGACTTTAACTTTTTCTCGCTGGAGGAAGTTCGATCGATCGAACCTTAACTTGGATCGATCGAAGATGGGTTCGATCGATCGAAGTGCATCTTGGATCGATTGAAGTGGTCTGACTCCTCCGGATAAGGATAAGGCTGAGATATTTCGAAGATATTTATGGGGAAAAGGACAAAAGTGGTTGGTAGGCGTACAGCTGTGGATAAGATCAATCATTTGAATAGGACAAAATAGGGTTCGATCGATCGAAGGTGATGTTGAATCGATCGAACTTGGAATTTCAGCAAAGGCCAAGGTTGGATCTATCGAGAAGTACTGTGATCGATCATAGATGTTCGATCGATCGAACTCTAAGTTGGATCGATCGAACTTTTCAGCTGCACAACTTTGATTCCTTTTTGCTCCTTTCTTTCTCCACTTTGCTCCCTCCTTTGGTTTATCTCAGGATTGCTTCAATTAAGCTCTTATTTGGCTGAGTTAGCTCAATTTTGGGATTAGTGCCTGAAAATATAAATAACACGTAATAAGTCTAAAACGGCAAAGTAAGATAGATAAATGTACTAGAATGCTTAAGCTTAACGGGTTTAAATGCGCACTTTTCAGTGCTCATCATTAACCAATATGAATTATATGATAATGTGCATGGTCTTAGCATTTCTAGCACAAGTGATGAGTTCTTTCAAAGCTTATGCAAGCTTGAACTAACTCACTCTTTAGGAATGACTTCATATGTAATTATATATAAATGAAGTGTATAGTCAATAGCTAATGGATATAGGAGCATATGAATGATGATATGATATGATATGCATGGTCCTATAGAGATGAGCTTCAAATGGATTTATAAATACTTTGATATTGAATCCTAAACACTCACCATCCTATCTACCCCTTTCTTCACGCTTTGTCCATGATCGTGTAGGCTTTCAGGTAGAGTTGCTTTCTTCCTTTCTTTGAGTTGCTTTCTTGCTCGTTGTAGTCTAAGCTATCTTTGGATGGACTTTACATTTGCTTCTTTGCAACTTCATGTCTTCTTTGTATCCATTGCTTTCCTTAATATGATTTTGAATAATGGAATACTTGGAATGATCTTTCGTGCTTCATTGAGGTCATCCTTTGAATGTGAATAATCTATAACACTCAATGTAAACATTAGTCCTTAAACACTATTAATGGTTTGTTATCATCAAAACCTCTAGATTGTCCTTGGATGAAATCCTTACGGTCAACAATATTATATATGTGTGTGTACCAAGCTCGAGAGTCGTTTTATCTATTCACGCGTATCACGACTAATTCGTCAATGGTCGAGACCCTCTAAAACCAACCCTAATCTCTATGCGTATTATCATACTAGGGTGGCCTACCACGACTGGCTCGCCAGGCTCCAATCGTCGTCAGCTGTCACCCCAACGACCGGCTAGTGGAGAATTCCTCGAAGAACGACGACTCCTTTTATAGAAACATTAATGGTGGTAAAGTTCTGACATGAAACTGATTTTTTTCCCTTACCCATCACCAATTGGAAGTCATTAGAAATGGTGGTAGTAGTTATATCAACCTTGTTGAGTTTATTCATACCCTTTTGGGTTACTGTGCAACTTGAACTTTTTAACTTGTCAAATATTCCGTATCAGAAGATATATATGTTTTTTCTTAGTTGGTACTTATACACCCAAACCTCCATAAGGCTTGTCCCTGACTTTCCTTTGAGAAGTAGGGGCTTAATACCACTGTGTCACTGACTCGTTGGTCAGAAGATATGTTTTAATAGTATGAAGTTGGTGATTTTGAATTGAAATTGAAGAAAAATTAGTTCAAATTTTAGGCTAATATTCCTCCAATTCCAATTATAAAATGTCACTTCCATGGCCCCAAATGCAACTTGAATAATTATCTAATAAAATGTGCTTGATAATATAATCAGGATAAAGTTGAAAAAAAAAAATCATTTAATGAGATACACTATTAATCAAGCCAGACACCAATCACTTAAAATCAAAGCAATTATCAATTTGAATATTAATTTACAAATAGAATATAAAAATAAACCCTAAAAAGTTTTTGTTTTATCAGACAATACTTACATTCAAAATTTTTTCCCCCAACATAAAGACATAATTGTCCTTAGGAAAACACTTATCCTTTACAATTAAGGCATGAGATGGAACAAATTTTGAACGGACTCCATTAAAATCTGAATCCATATCCATTAAAAAAAGTTGTCGAATCTTGCAAAACAAACCACAGTCAACCCATGTAGACACTAAAAATCCAATTTGATATTAAACTCAAAAAAAAAAAAAAATTTTTTTTTTTGAATTAAAAAATATTGTAAATTCTTGAATATATGGCTTTGAAAAAAAAATATTCACCAAAAACCTTTTTAAATTATGCTTTCACGTATATCTAAATTTGAACTAACAAATACAAATCTTTAAAATTAGATCAATAATTCATTTCATTTTAAAATCAAATTTAAATCACAATCCAAACCTTGAAGAAACGAAAGACTTGGAACTAGACCATATCATCATGTCCTACTTAAAATTATTTTTGAATCAAATGAAGTGCAAATTCTTTTGTTTACTGCGATTATCACCATTTCCTTTCTAAAGGTTTATTTCACGTTTGGAATCCTGAGATTTGGATTAAAAAAAAAAAAAAAAAAAAAAAAAAAAAAAAAGGTTTACTTTGTTTAGAATGGACAAAACTCGAAACCATATTGAATCTGAAAGAATTTTATAAAAAAATTAAAGTACAACTTTTTGGTATATGTGTTCATAAAATTAACTCAAGGTTATCATTTTTTTTTTTAATTTTACATATTAAATTATTCCAAATGTATAAGAAAATTGAAAATTATCAATAGGTCAGTGGCGTAGCTAATCCTACTTTTTAAAAGGAGGTTAGGAGTTCAAGTTTCGGTAGAGACATGTGTATGTGAGTATGCGAGTATCAACTAAGAAAAAAAAAAATTAAAAATTCATTTGCAAGCATTTGATTTTTTTTTTTCAAAATCAAATCCCAAAATTTGCAATCCTTGCATTTCATTTTTCTTTTTCAGAAATCAAATTCCAACGGGGAATAGAAATTCTTCGATTATTTCCCTAAAAAACAAAAGCAGAATGTAAACTCAATCGGCCCATCATCCACTCGATCCACGGCCCACTACATCTATCCTCAAAATTTAGAAGTACTTCGGAATCTCCAATATCGATTCTAGAGAGAGAGAGAGAGGAAGAGGAGAGAGAGAGTTGGGAGCTCGGAGTTTCGTATTCGGTCTTGCGGTGGCCAAAACCCATCCTTTTCACTCCCTTTCAGAACCCTAGAAAACAAAACTCAGCCATTCACAGAGTTACAATAGCTAAAAGCATCGTCTCCGGCGAGTTATTGAGGCCTTGACATGGCCGGACCACCTCTGCGAGAGCAAGCACTCTCCCTCATCGGCGCTGCGAACAACCATGGCGATTTGGCGGTGAAGCTTTCTTCTTTGAGACAGGCCAAAGATATCTTGCTGTCTATAGAGCCTTCTCTTGCGATGGAAATTTTACCCTATCTCGTGGAACTTCAGTGTTCGCCCGAAAGCCTCCTTCGAAAATCCCTCATTGAGTGAGTTCAAAATCCCTATTCCAATGGTTTCTTTATCTTTTCTTTCGGTTATGCGTGTTTCTGAGCAAATTGTCTTTTTATTTTTTGGGATTAATTAAATCGTTTTAAGAAGGTTTCATGTGGTGCATATGCTGTAAAATTTGAATGCGATAGTAAGTTAACGTTCTTGATCGCTTAAATTGAAGAAATTGTGAATGCAGTTTAGGTTTGGTGTTTTTATTTTGTTATGATTGAACTTCTAAGTTGATGGTTTTTGTTACTTATCAAAAAACAAAAGTTGATAGATTTTTGTGATCATAGATTTGTCGTTTGATTCAGTAAAAAGGGTTTCATTTGATACTAAGAACATCCTTTATGATGATTATTCAAATGGAAGCTGAACAAGTTCCCTGTAAGTTTTAGGATTATGGATTTTAGTAGTGGCCGTAAGTGGCCACAGGTGGGTTAGGAGTGCAGAAAAATTGGAGTCCCTTTTCATTTTTTTAACACCTTTAATGTGGTTGCAGATGATTAGGGGTACAAGTTAGGACCTTATGTCTATTATTGTCTCTCTGCAACCAATGATGGTATTGGCTCTTAATTATTCACGTATTATATCCCAGCTTAACTCTAGTAAAATTTGGTTCCAGATGTTAACATAAAGCATCACATGCTGCTTTTTTGGCATATTGTGCTTAGTAAATAATTATATTGACAATGTGAATCGTATTGTGTTAAAGCAGAATAGCTCACCTAATTCTTAAAAAATACTAGCACCACATGAATACTTAGTCTGATTTTGATGGACTGAATGCTGGGCATCATGTTTCATACACATGACAGTTAATTCTTGTTCAGAATTCAGACTATAGATATTGCAAATGATTAAATCTTCCATTGATATTTGATACAACCCAAATTATCTTTGTCAAAACAAAAGAAAGGGGAGGGATTAACAGAGGTCAGATGCTACAACATTCTGTATTTTAGATGGGTATTTTGATATTTCTGACTTCGAAGGCCATGTTTCGGAATACTTTGACAAGTCATTGTATATACATACGTACAAATTTTCTTCTCATCTGGGTGTCAATATGATATTTTAATTGTATATACATATTTTTAAATGTGATACCTAGCTTATTAATAGTTGCATGTCCAAGAAAGGGGAAATAAAATAGCTGACTTTGCCCTTTTTACGTGGCATATTGAGATCTTGAGGTGGTTGTGTCATTCTATCTGTTGCCTTAACTTATATTTTCTTGTAAGCTCATTCTATATGTTTGGCAGGGTTACGGAGGAGATTGCAATGAAAGCAATGGATTATTCTTATATACTAATGCCAATTTTATTGGCATCATTAAAAGATAGTGATTCCATTGTTGCAAGGCAATCCATTGTTAGTGGCACAAATATCTTTTGCAGCGTTTTAGAGGAGTTGTCATTGCAGGTCTCTCTCTCTCTCTCTCAATATGTTGTCCAGTGTTTCGGTGAACGTATTTTAATTCTTTTTGACATAATATTATTTCTATTCATTTCTAGTATAGCATGCAATGTACTTGGTGTTGAGAGGGTAATAGGATCATCTATATTATGGCTACAATATTAAGTACATGTCATGTGGCAAGTTATATAACTTATTTTTGCCTTAAGGGTCACGACGGTGCAAAGTTCATAGATTATAATTTCAAATTATTATTTGGAACTTCTGTGATTGATATTTTTTGAATATATTAAAGGTTTGAGGTTGATGGTCATGAGTTGTTCAGCATTATCAAAGAAAAGTTTAGTTCCTCCAAAGTGATGTTGGAGCAAAACTGTTTTATAGACCTAAGTGCTTGTTTTCTGATAATATTCCATTTGTATGTAATATAACCTTTTCAGCTAATGTGTTTCAGTTCACATAACTCCCAGCCACTCATAATGGGATATGTTGTTTTTAACTTTGTGTGAATTCTTAATTTATAGTGATGTATGTGTTTTTTCCATCCACTTGAACTTAAACAAGCCTTAGGTTGAAGCCTAAACTTATTTTCTATTTATTTAATTTTCTTGCCATTTGTCCCCTTTTCAGCACTTTAGCTTTCTAATTTCGTTGACTGCTTGTGAAACTGTTGAACTCAATTTTGAAAAATTATAGTTTCACCGGCGTGGTATAGTTGAGAGGTGGCTTGAAGAGCTTTGGACATGGATGGTTAGATTCAAGGATGCTGTCTTTGCTATCGTGTTGGAGGTATGTATTACCTTCTCTTTGTATTGTTCCATTGACACATATAGATTTTAAATGGCTATCTGAATTGTTTGTCACTGAGATCAAGTGTAGCGGTAATGTTATATTGATGATTCATTTTTATTTTAAGAGAAGGTCAAAATCTCATTTCCTGCTAGTAGGTTGTGGGCCTTTGATATAGGTTTCAACATCAATAAACTTGTAAATGGTGTTCATTCGTATTGACTAAATGAATGATCTGGCATTCTTCTTTGGTGTAGAAATGTATTGACGAAGGAGATGTGCTTAACTGTAATTATAGTTTGCATGTATATATTGATATAATTCCTTATTTGTCAACTTGTGGGTAAATTGGTTGCATTATGCTATTGAAAATATACCATCTCCATAATTTGTTTTACATGTTGTCTACTTCTTGGTGAGATTTGAAGCACTTGGCTAGCATGAGGCTTACTTGTACTTGATGTTGTAGGCTGGTTCTGTTGGTACCAAGTTGCTGGCGCTGAAATTTTTGGAGACATTCATCTTACTTTTTACTGCTGATAATGATTCTAAAAAACCTACCACAGAAGGTATTGCATTTTAACATTTTAAGGTTTGCCTTTGACTGCTGACAATGTGTACCTTGTGTTACATTGTTGCATTATAGCTTGTTTGCCTAATCCCTCGCCACTCTTCTACAGGATATGATTGTTGAACATTTGTTTTCGTTGTTGTTGTTTTTGCAGTAGATATAAAAAGGAGTGGGCGTGATTTTAATGTTTCATGGCTGCCTGGGGGTCACCCTGTTCTGGATCCAGTAGCACTCACATCTGAAGCAAATAGATGTCTTGGCATCCTACTGGAATTGTTGCAATCGGCTAGTGGTCGTCCTGGTTCTTTGACAATTTTCATTGTGAACTGGTGAGTTTTTACTTGGGCATTTGTATTTTACATCTGTGTGTTTTCCCCTCCCTTCCATATTTAGCAAGTCTGTTTTCTGTATTTTATATATAGATAGATATGTGTATATATATATATATATTTGATAATTAAGAATCTATTAGAAAGCATTCAAGAAGGGAATTTTCTGTATTATATCGTAGAATGATTTTAAGTCTTGGTAAAAACAAGAGGAAACCAGAAGTCAGTTGAAACTCTATATTGTTGAAGGAAGATAAAGCTTATAAAAGGAAGAAAGTAATAATATGGCAATGATAGAGATTGGCTTTAATTACAAGTTTCAGATATTTGTGCAATCAATGGTGGAGGGTAGACTTAAGCCACACAGAGCGGGGAGCTCCAAAGTCCAAAATTTCGAGAGCAGAATTGTCTCCAATGAATCCATATAATGTAGTGAATGTCCTGTTTAAGTAAATGAAATACTACAACTAATACTCAAAGAAAGTTTAGCCAAGTGGAAAGTTGCACCACTTGTTAAACATCTGGGTTTCAATCCTTGTACCACTTTCCATATTATTAATTTCTGAAGCAAAGGAGAAGGACTTCCTCTTGCATGGGAGAGGACGTCTGTTCGTACACATGCACAATGTACATGTGGTGGACAGTGAGATTCGTTCGAATCCAAGTATTGAGAAAATGAGTTGGCGAATTCTGAAAATGGAATCCGCAAAATTGGGCAGCATCTGCTCCCAATTCGCCTATACTTAGTGTAGGATCGCAACTTTCTTTTGCGTATCTTGTGACTCATGACTAGACTTCCACCGCCTTACACCTGAGGATGTAATTATCAGGTAAAATATGCAATCTTTTCCGCAAGAACTCTAGAAGGTCTGAATATAATTCCTTTAGTTTGGTTCATAAATATATCCATGGGTTCTCCTCCACCTTATGCTTATATGAAAACTACATGTGATTGCTTCTTTATTGTTGCTTTTTTCTTACTATTTTTAATTTTCTAGAGAATGCCAAGTGGCTTTGTCTCCCAACTTCTCTGTTTCATTTTTGTTTTTGTTTTTTAAAATCAGTTTAGTTCTTGTTTTGTGTAGATTTTAATCCCTATGGTTGCCACTTTTTCAACCTCTTATTTAACTCAGCAGTGTTGGTGGAACCTAGCCATGCCTCGTGGATTTTCATTCTTATTTTACTGACTAGTATGATGATTATTGGATCTAGCTGGTGATCCCACAAACACTTGTTTTCCTGAAGAGTGTTTCATGCTTTTGACATTTAATTATTGGCCATCTCTCTCTCTCTCTCTCTCTCTCTCTCTCTCACACACACACACACACACACACACACACACACACGCATCTTGTGAGCTTTATTTTTATTATTATTATTTTTTGGAGTTGAAAGCAGTTTCTTTTTCTTTTTCATTTTTCCTTTTTAGTTGCTTTAGAGGTTAGGGTGGTTCTTTGTTGGGATTCTTCTCTTCTAGCCTATATGTTTCTGTCACATTTATATGTGCAAGTCATTGGACTTGAATGGCGAGTGAAATTCCAAAAACCAAAAACAAGATAAAATAAATTAGAATGAGAGAGGGAGAGAAATGGATAGATATCATATTCTTTATACTGAAGAGTGAAGACACTCATTTCAACAGGCTAGAATACTGTTCCAAAATTGGGTTGCTGGGCCATAATGGGACAAGGAGTATTTACAATTTTGTAAACTGTGGTTCACCGAATTGGCACTTCTCTTTTTGTATATCTAATAGCGTTAAGTTAATTTCCCGCTCTTGAGAGGAAGCTCCTATTTGGTCTCTTAAATATAATATTCTTACTTCTTTATTCCTTTGGGTAAATGGATGGGATTGTACTTCTATGGATCATCTTTTGGATTTTGTGAATGGCTTAAAGTTGTAGTGTCGGTGTAATCGTCTTTTGTTTCTTTGGGAGCGCTCCCCTTTTGGGTGCCTTTAATGAAATCTTATTTATCAAAAAAGAAGAAGTTAATTTCCCCCTCTTTTGTTATCCATTGCTAATCAACAAATCATTCTCTTTTGGGAGTCCGCACATCTTTTTGCATCTCATGAGCAAATAATACTCACATGTAAATGGAGAACAAGCTTTGGTGATCCCTCTTTCTTGAAATTCCTAAAAACCAACTGTTCTTTGTAAAAGTATTTATTATCCTTTTTGCCACTTGGAGTTATATTTAGAAAATTGATACTGCTTTTCACAGTTAAATCCCGCATTATGTGGAACTTAACGAAACGGGTTAACTGATTTGATAGAGGTGATGGTTTTTTAGGAGGGGGTTTTGATTAAATGAAGAGAGAAAGAAGTGGGTAATTACATGAAATCCTAAAAACTACTGATAGATAAGTAATGGATAAATTGAGGCAGTAGGAAGGTTTCTTATATTATTTAACTGCAACTTCTCCTTCACTTATCAAAAAAAAAAAAGAACTTCTCCTTAACCAGAAAAAAGAAAAAGAAAAGATGAGGATTTCGGAAATGAATCCAAAAATAGGAACTTAGAAGGAATAACACTAGGACTGAAAAGTCATGGTATAAGAATGGTATGTCATCCAATTCAAAAATCCAAAATAATTCTCAAGCATCATAGGTGAGGCTTGTCGAAATAAAGATGATATGTGTGGTTCTTAAAGGAGAAAAGTTGTGAAAGTTCCTTGGTTGTGTATGATAGCTATGAATGCATACACATGAAATAGATGTGTATGTGTATTTGTGCTCATGTTCTATCAAATTAATGTATACTTTGTGTGTATGGGTGGCTACTGTCTGCTTAAGTTGTGTAGGATTAATGTCTACTCGGTATGTGTGTATTGTCAGGTAGAGTTGTATCTATTTATGTGTTCATATATAATATTCTAGCATGTCAGGAAATCAGGACGCACGCTTTCTTTTATGGCAAATGAATACCATTGTTGCCTTATGCATTAGTTTATTTACCTAGCTAGCCTTATAATTCTTGTGTATGATGGGATGCTTTTATATGACCGTTATACAATTATGCCCTCTGTAACTGAGTTTGCAATTACGATGTGTATGCCTGTTGAATCTCTCCCTTCCAGAATGTATAACACCTTGTTGGGTTGAAACTAACATTGTTGTTTTCCCTGCACGCAGCCTTGCCAGGAAATGACTGGTCATTAGTAATTTAAATATTTTACATGCATTATGGTATCTTTTTTTGATAAGTTACATGCATTATGATATTTGATAATACATTTATGTCTTTACTCGTCACTGATGACATGTCTTCTTATCTATGGAGACTAATTTATAAGCATATGGATGGTATTGCATTTTTCCTTCAGTTTTACTATTTTTTAAATTTTGGAGGGATCGCTGAAAGTTGGAAACTGGCTGTAGTACAAGCTCAACTGCTTGTTTCTGATATCATTGCAGCACGTCGAACAGCTCTTTTTGCGGAGTTAAATATGCTTGGCCTTGCTGATTGGTGGTTCAGATAATTGAGAGATGGGAGTTAGCTGATGCCAACACCATAGGCCGGTTATAGGAGTAACTGATTGATGGTTAAATTGGTCATCTCATGTACTGGGGCAAATTTAATGTCCAGACAATGCAGTTCTTGCGTTGTAAAATGTTAAGAGAGACCGTTACATCATTGCTGTTTAGTATCTCAACTGTATGTGCATACAGCTGTAGTGTTAAAATGCTGGTTAAAAATGTATTATTGATGTTATGACAATTGATACACATTCAATATCTGCAATACAATTTTTTTACGGAGGGTTTTGCCCAATTTTTCATCCCCTGCTTCCTTTGTTGTGGGCCCTAATTTCTTTCTGCTGTTATATTGTATATATATTTTTCCAATGTGACGCTTTGTTCTTTAGTTGGGGTTTAATCTTCTAATGTATCTTTTCAGTCCATATATCTTGTTGGTTCTTCAGCTATTAAGTTATCAGCTTTAAGAAACAAAGGCTTTTGGCCTTCCTTTTTTCTTTCTTCTCCCCCAAGTGGTTGATAAAACTAACCTCCACAGACAGTTTTCTACAAAATTAAATTTTATGTAATCCATCAGCATGGGCCTGGCACAGTTTCTCTCCAATGCAGAAAAGCTGAGTCGTACCAACTATTTTGTTAGCCATCCATCAAGAAGCTGACATTCCAATGGGCCATATACAAGTTATTCGTGAATAGGTGCAATCCAAAGTCACTACTATCAGAGTGGTGCATTTGAGCAATTCTATAACAAAATTTCTAAATGTTCAAGTGCTTTGTTGATCCGCTTCCGCTATATTCAGCTGCAGCAATCCTGCAAGTGCCCAAGAATGGAGAGGCCTACCTTGCTATTTCATATTGGATCTCATTAAAATGAATAATTGAATGAAGTTGTTACTTCTTTGTTTAAAAGAGGAATATCTGCATCTAGTGGCTGCTGTTGTTATCATCCTACAGACCTTAGCTTGACTGTTTTACTTTTTTTTTCCTTCTTATTTACTTTAAAGTGCTAATTTATTTTTATATTCTAGCAAATAAGATGATTAACATCCTGTGTGGATGAAAATTTTGTTGATTTAATTTTCTAGTGCAGATTAGTTAAAACTGTAGGGTCATGGATAGCATACTGATGTAAATGCAAACATCACACGCATGATTATTAAAAGAAATGTGATAACTAGAGAAGCCAGTGAAAAGTGGAAATGAGACAATACTGTGGACTTGCACTTGAAAACCTGGTTTGAATCTTCGGCTAAAATAATTTTGTATGATATGGTGTATGTGGTAATCTTATTTGATGCTTTGCAAATTGCAGATCTATTTCACAAAAGGACATGTGAGTTGCTTGTGCTGGAGTAATGTTTCCTTTAGTTTTTTTATTACATATTTGTACAAGAAAACCAGTTAATGCATGCTAGCGATGAATGTATAGATATATCATGGATTTCCATTTGCTAGAGATTCTTTAGAATGAGTGTTTAAATGTTAGTGACATGGGATATTCCAGAGTTTGAGAAAAAGGTT